TGACGCCATCTTGTGTGTTACAAAAATGAAAACGAACCCTGAACATGACCGTTGAACTTTTCAACTTTCTGCTTTTCGGTGACCAGCACCCTCTACACGTTGAGACAGATGAGAAAATAAGGAAAATTTTCATACCAAATTGTCCTATATCATCATAATTTTTCGTATTTTTTCATACTTTTTTTAAAAATTATCTGGAAATACACAATATGCAATTTTCGCACGACCTTGGATTTATGGATTTTTACCTCGCGAGGTAGGTTAGGCTATTCACGGTACGGTGCGTAGTGGGGGAATGGGTGACTGAACGCGGTGAGGCGACTAGGGGTTCGGCCTAGGCCCCCTACGATGTAAAATTTTATATTATTTTTATCGTCAATAAATTCAAATTTAGATTTATTTTGTAAAGGAATAACTTGTGCTGATGTGGAGATGTGTTTGTATTCTGACTACTGACTCAGGATTCAATAATTTATTTTTAAAATTATTCATCAAAAAATATTTATAAAATAAAACAATAATTGGAAATAATTTATTTATTAAAATTTTTTTCATAATTTCACAATACTAAATAATAAGTTATTTAGAAGCATTTTTTTATTATCTTTCAATTGGTATCAATCATTATTGTATTATTCCTTCAGAAAAAATGATATTTAACCATATTTCTGACAATGAAAAAATATTCACAATCATTTCAAAAAATCGATCAGTCAATGGATTAACTTACGATTTATAATAAGTATAAAATCAATTCCAGTCATCAACATGTAATAATATACTGTATTTATAGCTCTTATATTATTATACCAATGTTAAAAAGAGATTTTTATCAATGCAAATTAAGACATCATTACATTATACAATAAACTATTCAGACTTATGCTCCCAATGCCCAAAGGCATCTGTATTGTTTTATAACACCCACCTATCCTACTGTATGTATTTGTCATTAAAGCAATGTAAAAATCCATTTAGAACATCAGTTACAGTATTCTAATACAATAAACACTTCAAAAGATAAACACTATTCCTCCCACACATATTATACAAGGATAATTTTAGTAAGCTGCTGTTTGCTAGTTTAATAATTTTAGTAATTACTATACTATATGTATATAGTATGTAGTTGATAAGTGTTAATATTCAGTTTTAGGTGTAAAATAGGCATAATTTGTAATTAAACTCTGAAAAATACTTGTTGTGTGCACTGTATGATGTGTAATAAATCATTTAATCTTTTTTTTTTTCATTTATTTTCCCCTGTTGTTCATATACATCATTCTTATTTTATGATGGATGTTTTTTTTTTTTTTTTTTTTTTTTGCTCTTTCATTATGACATTTAATATTAAGCGATTCATTTTGTAATGAAATAGTTCATTTGACTCATTTTTTTTCCATTTATTTTTCCCTGTTGTTCATATACATTCTTATTTTATGATGGATGTTGTTTTTTTTTTCGCTCTTTCATATGACATTTAATATTTAAGCGACTAATTTTGTAATGAAATAGTTCATTTGACTCATGAATCATTATACTTATCATTGTTGATGGTATTTCAAATTAATATAGAATTTCATCAATCATTTTACATACTATAATATACAACAATTTTCTTCACTAACCTAGTAGTACCATTTTATTAATGCAAATCACTTCTTATAATAAAGGACAAACATTTTCAATATATTTAAATAAAGAATGTGCATGTTTCGGAAACGAATTGAATATTTAAAGGGATTGAATCTAAGAAAAGACTGTTAATGGCTGTAACAGATTGAGAATAGCAGATCAAACTGCATAATTAAATAAACACTAAACGATTACAGCCTATTGATTCATACCTTATATGATGGATTCTAAAAGGTGATCAAATGAAGAGATAGGAAATCTATACACTTCGATTTCTCTCTGATTTCATTCAAGCATGAAGAGAAACACGAGCTTTAATGAACAACAATATGCGTGTATCTATTCCGCTTCACTTCAAGAATCAATCAATAGTTGCTATAACAACAAAACACCATTGGGAACTGTGAATGAGGTAGTAAGTTGCATTGAGTATTGTGTGAAGGGACAATTCAGTTACGGTAAACAGGAGCAGGTGATTTTACTTCCTATTTAACGAAATGAAGTAATAAATTTCTGAATTTTGTACACAGACTTTACTGTTTAGGTTTTTATATCTTTTGGGGTCATGGTAGAAGCGTTCCTGTCATGGCCCTGTGTTTTAACCAATCCTACCACCACCACGTACAACCAGAAATATAAAAACATAGAATATCATGCCTACAAATTATAGCAGTGGATACAACCACAAGGCAAAGAAGTGTGTCCGTGTTGTGCCGTGGACCTTAATTTGCCCAATAGTAATTGCACTCTCATACTTTTAGAAATTTTGTTAATGATAAAAATAATAACAATACAATAATCATTTTCCTTAATACAATTTAGGGGGGTGCGATCGCACCATCTCCTATTGTTCAGGATGGTATAAGGTTGATAAAATAGACTCCCACATAAGGCCAAATAAAAGAAAATCATTATGTTGGCCACGCCTGACTGACCCAAATTTTACGAAATCCAGGGTCAGCATTTTAAGTTTTTTTTTACTACAAGGAACAATAATTTTTTTTTTTCATGAGCTTATTTATAAGGCTGGAATAGCCTTAGACCAGAATAGGGAGCCAAGGCCTAGCATATTTTGGTGCATGGTATATAATGGGAATCCAAAATTGTTGTATTATTTGTGTATTTTCTACTTTTTAAGCGTAAACACATTTTTGGTTAAAAAAAAAAAGTTTTCCTACCGACCTACCCATTTTTTGGATATCTCAAAACATGGCCAACACAATTTTTTTTTCTTGGTCTAAGACGAGATTTTATTTATACCTTACTTAGAAAACCCACTGACTGCAAATATTGATGATTTCAAATAAAAATAAAATTTTATTTTTGCACAATTAGGGCACCCACCGCCAAGAAAAAGTGGAAATTTCATAAAAAAATTTAAGTTTTCCTTTATTTTCATTCCGCCCTCCGCTGCCTTGAAATCGCCAAAGATAAAATATGTACATTTCTTCCTAATTATATAAATTTGAAGCATTTAACTATCCTATTTTACATTTACCAATAAAATTTTATTTTTATTTTCTCCTCCATCTGGATGATTTTAGCAAAACTATTTGCTAAATAAGAAAACAAAATTTTATTTTTATATTTATTCCGCCATCCTCCGATAAAACATAAGCATGCGAAACAAGGAATAAAAAAAACTCTCGCCTAAAGAAGTTTAACGCCTTTTAGAGAGTTCAGTCATACCCTTAATATTCTCAAGCTACACACAAGAACAAAACATACAAAGAAGTTTTGCTTAAATTCAACAATAAGTACTTTATAAGTGTTATTATTTCTTATTTTATTATAGTATTAACAAGGATATGAATTATAGTAGCAGAAACCAACAGACCTTAAAATGATAAAATACTGATGACAGCATTGACATTTATAGTTTAGCTGACTTTATGAACCAATAGAGTATGTAACAGTAAGATTCACTACACCTGCATTTTTTTTTTTACAGGTAATGACAAGAAAATCACACCTGAAGCGATATGAATACCTTGTCACCATGGAGACTGCCGGCAACAGTATATCTTTACTTTCTCCAAGCTACAACAGCAAGCCATGTAAAGATCCCTCATTAAATTTCATCTCATTTCATTATTGAACTTTTTATAAGGTTATGTGTTTGACAGAAACATGTGACATGGCTAAATATGGGCATAATGACATCACATCATAACCATATGACTATACTGAATATGGGTATACAAGAAAATTTGATAGTATGGACATATCAATTATTATTCAAAGTTAATTTTGGCCTTTAGACTTATCTTCATATAAATTGGAATTTAAGTTTGTGTGGAAGTTATTTTTGTACTACGGTACCTGCTGTAGTTATAAGCTACACGAAAAATATTAAGAGCAGAACATTATGATCACTATGAATCCAAATGGTATTTACATTGATCACATAAGTGGCAATGTAAAAAAAAAAAACCAAAATGCTTGCACCTTTTGGTGGTAATTCCAGTTATTTTTACAGTATATTTGAGAATGTATGTTCTATGAAACATTTTATGGATTACAGTATGACATTTTGGAATATAAATTTTTGGTTCAGCATGTAATTTGGACACCTTTAGTTAGTGGGGCTCTGGTCTTTGCTCTGAAAAAGAATCCCAGATTTGAGATTTTGAAAGAATGAAAACTTTAGTGTTATATGATATTTTCGTGGGTATTGCTAAACCCCGCAAACCTAAAAAAAAAACACAGCAAACCCCATCTAAACCCTGTGATAATGATTGAATCACATAGTATAGGACTCAACTTGGTATCTCAATGAAAAAAAAATCATAATTTTATGTTCGTCACAACCTATTTTTGGGGTAAAAAGGCCATTTTTTGTATAAAAAAATTGCTAAAACCTGCAAAACCCCCAAAACACAGAGTAAACCCCATCCAAACCCTGTGATAATGATTGAATCACATGAATATAGGACTCAATTTGGTATCTCAATAAAAAAAATCTTAATTTTATGTTCGTCACAACCTATTTTTGGGGTAGAAAGGCCATTTTTTGTATAAAAAAATGGCTAAACCCCGCAAACCCCCAAAAACACAGTCCAAACCCCATCCAAACCCTGTGATAGTGATTGAATCATGTAGTTAGGACTCACTTATTTTCGTCTCAGGATCCTACAGTAGGCCTTTCATGATTACGAGAAATTTGTTGTGTATTGCACTCACTTTCTTGTATATGTATACTAATAATACACTTGGCCCTATGTCAACCAACAATTATTTAAATCTTATAAGATTCGAACCTAGAACACTGAGAATGGAAAGCGAGCATTTTAACCACCAAGCACTGTTACTGTGTTAATAGGATTTTACATGTATTACCAACTATTGCTTTGTGTAAAACTTACCCCTGCAAACGTTGAAGCTTTTACTGTGCCTAACCTTCTTGGACTTGACAAAGGTTCATTATACCTACAAAAAAAAAAAACATAGCAAGAGTTGATTATAGTCAAAATTTTTTGGTGTTAAACTTATCCAATTTCAAAAAAATAATGTGTTAAGCTACTGTAATGTGTCTAGCCAGTTTCAATTTGCAAATACTTACCTACTGTACTTAAATAACAATCACTGGACTTTTTGACTGGGGTAAGAACAAATAATGGAATAACAATACAAGGCAAAAACTTGTATTCTCATCTACTGTATACAGTAGTAAATATTTGGTATGCAACACCACCCCTTCCCTCCCCCATTTTTTGTACATTCAAAAAAGTCTGCATCTTATCAATTCCTGATTATTTCCTAAAACACCCCTTAAGTGTCTTAGGAAACAATTTATCATTTTTTTGGGCATTGATTGATGGTTTGAATACTTTGACTACTGTTTGACGCAATACAAAAGCGTTCTTAGCACAAATTTTGTTTTCAGACCTATTGTCTACTGTATATTTAGCTCTGAGGGTGATTTTTGAGCAATCAAAAGCTCACATAATAATAATAATAATAATAATATTTTCATAGTTTATATAGTGCTCTTTACCGGAATCTCACAGCGCTTAAAAAGTACGAACTATGGAAAAAGGTGAGTTTCAAGAAGAGACTTGAATTGAGAAAGAGTTGGAGCATAACGGATGACGATGGGAAGTTGGTTCAAATTTACAAACAAACATAAAAAATACAATACATTACAATACAAAAATACATGTAGGTTTTGTAGGTTATTTTAAATCAACCAATTAAGGTGAAAGCGTACTTGGAGAACGTTTAGAGACCTATCAGGTCTCATTTTCATACTGTACATAAAATAGGGTTGGTTTTGTTATTAGACATTCGAACACAAAAATGGCGCACTAACACCAGGGTTAAGTTGGGCTGGCTTTCTATTTTAATCAAAACTCTCAACCAATCAAATGGAGCTGCCTATTTGCGGGCCAGGCAATACGTTGCACATGTTACAGTTTTTTGAAAGATTAATCATGTCAGATACAAATTCCTGAGAGATTCTTACAATCAAGTTGGTAGCAACTACGAACCAGCGCATAATTTTGTTTGATCCCCTCTTCAGAAATGTTTAAAAAGGCAAAATCGGCAACATGGATCTATAACAAAGAGCATGGCTCGAACTAAAAATGTTTAGAGATATTCTTTTTTCCGATGTCTCTTTCATTATCATAATCTGACATTTTCTAATGGTATCGCATGTATTCTTTATTTTGATAATTTTTGATAAGGGTTGGTAAAAATTCTTCTTACAGTACTAGATTTTCGATCAGATCAAACTAGATTATCAAAGAATGCACTGAAAGCTGCCACGTGCGCAGCTCATGTCAGTGGGAGGTTCGTGGACGACAGAAACATGCATCCTCAAGAAAAATTGCAAATTCTTAACAGATTTTTTAGTTGTAACGATACAACCCTAAAGTGGCAAAGAATGCATTTCCGGGTAACTAGGGAAAAATATATTTCAGGAGGTGGGGGGGGGGATTCCCTGGTCAACGATACAACCCTAAAGTGGCAAAGAATGCATTTCCGGGTAACTAGGGAAAAATATATTTCAGGAGGTGGGGGGGGGGGATTCCCTGGTCACTCCTCAGGGGGAGGGTTTTTAGAATAAAGTCTCACACCTGCAAATATTGTCTAACTTGACATGCACCTTTGCAGTACAGTACAACTATTAATTAGGCCTACATAGAATCAATTAGAATGGGGCCTTGGCCTAATCATAAAATTCCTTCTTGGTCAAATTTTTCAATCATGCATTCAATCAGGCAATATACGCCATGGATGTGGTTACAGTACATACTGTTAGTTAGAGGTTCTCCATTGAAGACTAGCCTAGGCCCTACAGTGCTAGGCCTAGCTAGGCCAGGCCTAGCTAGGCCTAGATAAATGGTCATTCGATTTCCTAGCCAATATTCTCTCGTGAGCAAAAACTCGAGTTGAATTCATGTGAATTTCTTAAATTCCCAAAATTTTGTGACATAAATAGTCAAAATATACTTACGATTTCTTCTTAAATTTTTCTGTACCTGCTGCGACGTACACATTATTGTTTTCTAATGCAGATAAATCTTGAATTTTATGTCCATGTACGGGCGTGTGAAGTTTTCTAACAGCACCGAAACTAGCTTTCAAGCCCCATGTTACTTCATTCAGAAAAGAGTCAAAGTCCCTCGTTGTTCTATTACTAATAACGAACCGTTTACCCGTAAAATGTTCATCTCCATTTTTAAAAACACGGACATTTATCGCAGGTTGTATCGATGGCATTGTTTTTGCAGCCATAATATACAGAAAGTGTGAAAAACTTGTTCTAAAGACTTCAATTCATGGTTTCTTTCTCGCGAGGTATTTAGAGAGTCTCAAAACGGATTGAATGAGGAGGGCGATGGGAAGAGAGTCAATGTTTGCTGTCCATTGTTTTGAAAGTTTGGCTGCTAGGCAACGGTTAGTGACGCTTACATTACAGTGCTGGCTTGACTTTTTTTGAGTAATTATTGCATTGATTTAACTTTATTCTATTGAGTCTAAAGTAAATCTTATCTTTTATGAAGATGAAGAACACGAAACATTGATCGCTGCTCTGTTTTTTGTTTTTTTTTTGTACAGTAGGCCATTATGACTCTGTATACAATGGCTTGCTGTACAAATAATATTTGTCATTTTGGTAATAATAATAAACAATGTCTTATATAATATATAGCGCATAATGCAAGAAAGTTGTCTCCATGCACTTTACATAAACAAAAACAAAACACATCATGAAATATCCTAATAATACAAAGAAAACTAATGAAGAAAACGGCATAAAAGACAATTACAATTTATGTCAGGAATTTATGTGAGATTTAAAAACATCAAATTACTATAATTAATGTGTATGATAACAAACATTTTGAAGGATATGTACTGTACCTCAAGTCTGAGATATGTTACGATACAAAAGAGATTTTTTGGGGTTATATTATACAATTTGATTTATAGGCCTTTTGCTAGTTTTATTCGTGAAAGTGAAAATTAACACAGTTGAATCTTAATAGCGATTGTAATTATTATTATTATTTATTATAATTATTTGTATTATTACTATTATTATTAATTATTTATTATTATTATTATTATTATTATTATTATTATTATTATTATTATTATTATTATTATTATTATTATTATTATTATTATTATTACCACCATATTAGTTTGCGAGCAAACATACGCTGGGCATCAGGGGGCCGCGTAGGGCCCCGGTCCTGAGGGTCCAGGGGTGAAGGCCCCTGGTGGGGGTCCGAGGCCCCCTCGCGCAAAACGCTTATGGCATTTATGATGTGTTACCTGTGTTGTCAGAGAATAGAATGGTCCATAACTGATGAAATAATTCAGACAATTTTATGACAAAACCAACATATAGTGAAAAACAAAGCATGTTTTAATAACGTATATAGCTAGGCCTACAATGCAAAGCAGATTGATCACAAAATCGGAAACAAATGTCAAAGATCAGAAACCAACTTTATTGTTTAAAACTGTCGGGGCCCCATTGAATGAAACTATGGTATTTTAGTTTATATTATATTTTTTTTTAAACAACAATGTCGAGCCCCTCGTGCCTGGCCCGACATGCACGTTGTTCCCAGTGCCTTTAGCTTAGAGGAAAATAATCGCCTTGGTGCGTTTATTTGAGGGAGGCGTTTATTCCAAATGAGGATCTATAGAGAGGGCGTTTATGCTAATATTAATACGGTAACTATTATTTTCTGTGGAATATTGTAAATATTATGGTAATGTAGGCCTATTTCCTTATGTGCCTTTCACGCGTTATCATATTAATCCTCCCCGTAGTCTAAATTAATGGTAATGTTACAGTGTGCCTGCTCCTTGACATTTACAAAGCTCCAGTTCTGAAGTAGTGTTTTTTTTGTGTTTTTTTTTTAAATATATTAATGAATCGATAATTGGGTATTTTAGGCTCGGCTATAAAATCTCCACGACCTCCCGGAGTTCGATCATGAAAGCGATGTCCGTGAGGGGTTTTCATAGAGGGTTTGTATTTCTGACCTTCGTAGCTATGGCAACATTTGTTGATATTATGAGTTCATAGGCTGATAATATCTTTTTGCGCAATATTGAATATATTCATGCTCATCGGTTTTAAAATATTATAATACAACCTAATATCTAAAACTTTAAATAAAATTAATTGATTGCTTTTTAAATTTCAATGTATTATTAATACTACCTTTATAAAAAAAATAAAATAAAAAAAATAAATAATAAATAATAATAAATAAAATATAACCTATACATACATATACATACATACATATATTATATATATATACATATATTATATATATATATATAAATATATATACCTAGTATAAAGTCAGTCTAAATGAAGATGAACACGATTGACATTCAGGATAAAGACAATATGATACGATGATAACTTATGTGATTCTTTTAAATAAGCAACTCAAATAAGTTATATTTTAATTGTTGAGGCGCCTTCCATATTATGTAGGCCTACTGTATTGTTGGCGTAGGCCTACAGCTTTAATTTCGGAATATTGAAATAATTTGAGGGCGGTATATAGAACCATGGAAGAATTAGTTTAAACTAAACTAATTTCTCCATGGTATAACTTATTTTTATCTTTTAATATTTGTAATGTTATGACATGATAAACACATCCGACGAAGCTAGGCTATACGCTCGTCTTCAATGGCACATACATTTTAACATAAATAAAAGGTGCTATTTGGTAGTCACTTTCATCAATCGGCTCCTATTTTAGCTTATTTAGGAAAGAGTCTTTATTGTAGCTCTCCTATTAGGCAAAACGAAAATCGAGCTTGGTTTAGTTATATAGCCTCATGAGTTTAAATTACATGAGGTACGGTACCGTACTCGCGCGAATAAGCGCCCGGGAGCTTAAAATATTTTTGCACTTTCTGAGGGGCGCTTATTAAAACGGGGCGCTTATTTAAACGGGGCGCTTATGAAAACAGAGTGGAAATTAAATAGATGAAAATCGATGGGTTCTTATGGGAAATTATTAAATTAAAGAGGCACTTGAATGAAAAGGACATTACGAATGGTGGTATCCGGAAACGATAATCCTCCAGAGAACATGGCTCATGACAATAATGCGTGAATATTTACATTACAGAGCAAAATAGCAGATGCAATTAGTGGTAGTGGTTAGCTTGTTGGCCATCGGCCGATTGAGATTAGCAGGATGGCAGGACCATTGTATTTTTTATTGAAAACTCAGATGAGAATGTACTAAAGGTCGGAAAAAGAAAAAGAGGAGTAGGACTAGGTATAGACAAATATGTAAAAAGTGTAAAGTTGGAAATATACTGTCTGTCCAGGGATCGGAGCTCTCATCTGTCCAAGAGAAATATCCTCATTTTGATATTGAATAATGTGTTTCCACTCTGCAGCTCAAATCATGCCAACAACCACAGTCCCAGGATTGACTTGCTAAAAAGAAAATCTTATGGTATCATTCAAATTAGAAGGGGGCGCTTATTCAATCGGGGCGTTTAACGAAATTTTTACGTTAGGAGGGGCGGTTATTCGAGCGAGTACGTATTAGAAATAAATCAAACATGATTTCGTGTCTTCATTTAGTTATTTGCTATATCTGAATGGAAATTCCCGGGGTGTCAATTAAATTTAACTGACCAATCATAGCGTGTTATTTATGTCCCACAAACGCAAAGGTTTGCGCACATTTTATTAATGGCCGTATTCGACTGGTCGTTCTTCGTTAAACCACGCCCACCTGCTTAGTGATAAAATCCTACTTAACGAAGACGACCAGTCGAAAAGAAAACTGGTAAGCACTCGACAAAACAAAAAGGCTGCATAGGTACCGCGATACATGCTGCGTAATCAAAGTTACTCCGGCTTGTGGCAGTATGGGTTTTTTAGTAAAAAAGGTTTTCTTCCAGTTTTTTAATTCTGTTAGCCTACAATTACTTTTTGACTTCATGTGGGTAAATATTATAATTTCTATTATCTGAAATTTAATCTAAATTATATTAACACAAATATTGTTGCTAAACTGACCAATCGGCCATGTTTGTTTTGGTCCCGTGGATAACTTAACGCTAATTAACGTTACGTTAATTTTCGTTGTCAACGAAGTCTATTTTACGAACCAGTGTCGAATGAAAATAATACTCAACGAAAAATCGTATTAAACGAAATGAACCAGCCGAATAAGCCCAATATAAGCCAAGGGGCCGGACATAGCGGAGAGGTTCTTTGATCATCAGTACCGTACCAAATTAGTCAAGAGGTTCTAAATAAACGGTTAGAAAAACATTTTTCCAGTACGTTTAAAACTTAATATAAATAATATTTAAAATGTGTCATAATAATTATTATTATTGTATAATAATAATAATGATAATAATAATAATAATAATAATGATGATGATGATAATGATGATGATGTTGATGATGATGATAATAATAATAATGATGATAATAATAACAATAATAATAATAATAATAATAATAATAATAATAATAATAATAATAATAATAATACAAACATACAAAATCTCTCCATGCGCTATTACAAATGTAATGAATAAGAAAAGACAAATTAAATCGTGAAAATATGCTTTTAATTAGGAAGCGGTTAGAAAACAGGCCTTAACATTAAATTAGACAAATAAAAAATAAACATTTACTTATTGAATTAGAATCTGGTATTCTGCAAAGAGGAAAAAAATAAATTAATACCTATATTTTCTTTGTATAGCATCATGTTTTAATATCTAGCTAACAAAGCCATCATTCTTTATGATTTAGCATCGGTATTTAAAATGTCTTTATAATATAGCGATCGATTAAATATTCAATTATGCGTCTCAAACTTTTTTGAATTGATTAAGTGTATAAGTGGTCTATATCGGGATCAGATAGTAATCGATTAATTAGTGACCAATTAACAGTCTCTAATTAAGTTAGTCATTATCGATTACAGGATTGTCACAGGCATGGGTAGCTAACCTGCTTTCCTGTCGGCTACATGTAAATTTCAGCGGTCGGACTCGGTTATCTGGTACCGTATGATCTCGAACAACGGCTTTATTCCCGAAAAATAAGGATTTAAATATTTTCTTGATTTCTCTCCTGAAATTTTCGTTGTAATAACCGTAAATGAATGGGTCCATCCAACTGTTGCTGACTGTTATAAGGCACGTGACAAAATTTGCTAGTCCCCAGCCATAGAAAGGACCGTTAATGAAGTCCGTGTAGAATATTAACACGTAATAAGGAAGCCAACAAATAGAAAACAAGAACACAACGCAAACGAACATTTTTATTGCGCGCTTTTTCGATTCCTGGCGTGCCTGGTGTAGTGTCGGAATTGACCGGCCTCCAAACCATAGGACATGTGCGATTATGCAGTATATCAGGCTAACAGAAAAAAGTAGCAATAAATACAATGTTATATCTATAATGATCCACACTTTAAGTTTTTCGAGCGTGATGTCACAAGTCTGGCGCGTGATGAGATGGTCTCCTTCCCAGACTGTGTATGTGACACTATGCAGGAGGGATGACTTAAAGCTACCGAAAAAAATACTAATACCCCAGACGAAAAATATCATTATGTAACACACGTTATGTGAAATGCGAGGCTTAAGCGGTTGCACTATAGCACGGAATCTATCGACAGCTATGGCAAAGATTGAGAGCCAGCTTGCTGAGTAGGCGACCATGGGAAAGAAACCGACGAAAACACGGCAAACCGTCAAGTTGAGAGGCATCTCTGAGTAGATAGATATGTAGGCCAATGCAGGCGTGTAAAATATTCCCGCCAGGATGTCAGAAGCACAGAGAGACGTAATAAGAATATTAGTTACTGATCTTCGTAGAACTTTTGACCGCAGAACTGCTACGATTACTAATGAATTGCTAACGACGATCATGAGAACGTTGAACATGAAAAGGACATAGTAAACGATAGGTGGAATATGTATGTCTTCTATCTCGTGTTCCACTTCACTTGGATACTGGCTGATATCAAGTGACAATGGGTTTGCTCTGGTGACAACGGTAGAATTAGTAGGCCTAGTCAGTAGGCCTACAGTGGTGCTGTTTACAATCACCATACTAGCGTCGCCGTTCATCTTGGTGTAGGCTTTAACTGACCTGCAAAAAGAAATAGAGAAGATGTGTATTTAAAGAACTATTTCGGTTGAACAACAATCTCTCTAACTAAACAAATTGATCTAAAAAATATTCATAAACACTGTGTGTCCAAACAAATAAACGCTTCGAAATAATTATTTTATGTTTTGAAATCCAGATAACAAAGTGAGCAAGAAAAAGAATGAATAAGAATGTATTCAGATGGATATCGCGTCTGTAATTGAAGATCGTCAAGTATATTTTATTCGCATTCGATGTTTTTGGAAATTAATTCAGATTCATTTTTCGCATAGGTCTAATAAATAAAACTCAAGTCATTCATAAGTTTATAAAGTCAGTAACCGTTGAGGGCGCAATATGATTTACAAACACCAGGCTACACAACGAAGTCTTGCTTTCGCGGCCTTTTGTTGAGATGAACATTAGTTTTTTAATTGCAGCTAGTAGTAAATCTAAAGGCACAAACATGCTAACTTAATCGTTATGTTAAACAATGTGGCTAGTAAAATATGTTTTAATTATAAAAGAAGGTATAGATAAAGCTTAGATATATAATAATTATAATAATGTATGTATGTATATGATAATTATAATATTATAATTAATATAATAATTTAATTTTTTCAATGTTTTAATTAAATTATTCTGCAATTTTAATGTAATTTTTTCAAATAATGTTATGCCTATACATAATTTTATTGTCTTGATTGTGCAGTGGTTTCGTATTTTAATTTGTAATTCTCCTTAGTTCTTGTGTTAGTTAAGACTTTTTGATGTTTGATGTTAACGTAATTCGCAATTCAGCCTCTTGGCTGCCATGTTTTATGTTTTTTTATTGTGAATCTTGATTGAATAAATACCATTATATACTAAATAATCTATAGAAAAACTGATGTTAATCGATCAACCGTGAACATAAAGTTTTATCTTATTATACAAAAATAATGATGAGGATGAAGAATAATGTGAACAAAATAAGTAATAGGCCTGTGGCATTTACTTTATAATATTTATTTTTAAATTAAAACGTTACGTCTGTGGTTATTGAAACATAACCAATAAGGTGTTTTTTCTATTTAAATATCCAAATTAAATTTGCATTGCACATTCGATTGATGGATATCTTGCGCATATTTAAAAGCATTTTAAAAGTATGTCAAGCTATCCACATCTAGCAGAAAGAAACTTAACTTAATAAACAAAATCTCTATACGCCTTTTGCTCAACTAATACAGTCGTAAACACAATTTTATTATAAAATGTCTTTAGCATTGTATGTGAAAAATGCTTTTCCGTTTTAAGCCCTATTTCTATACTTAATTAGCAAATTATAAAAGCTTTTAAGTCTTCCAGTTCCAAGATATTGAATCGGGTATTTGCGCGCAGACACATGACTATTAAAAGAGGCGTGCGATATCTTTATTACCAATTGTAGAAGATACAAGATTTTTATTTTATTCATTTATGATTTAGATATCACAAGTGATTAATAAAAGAAATTGAGAAATAAAATAAAACAAAACAAAAACTTACTTATTCCGAAAGAAAACACATTAATATTTTTGAAGACGTTAACAGTGCGAACTTGCTTTCCAACTGTCCACCAACATCGATTTCTAAAATCTAAGGCCAAATTTAACAACCAGTCTCTTAAAATCAACTTTAAAAACATCAAAAGGTTGTGCACTATTATATCTCGTTAATGCCAGTCCTTAAATGGTCACGCCCCTAAGTTAGTACACCAACCAATCAACACGTTTATTTTCGTACCAAATGTACGCAGAAATTCGTCAAATGGTATTTGAGGAATGACTCGAGACCACCTCACGGAAAGCTGATTGCCGAAAAGTGATACTTCACGTGCAACTTCAACAAACAGCTCCGACAGGTGTCTGAGAATGCATGTTAATTGTCTTGAATGAGAAATTTTAATTTATTTTAGTAAAATCTTTGCAAAAAAAAAATTATTTTTTAATATCCGATTAGCAATAAGTGGGGTTGGGAAGGTGGGCGGGGGGCCTAACTACCCCCTTTTATGTTCAAATGTGAAAATAATAATAGTAAATTAATGGAAATAATTGGCAAAGTAAGTTTTTAGACGGTAGCAATAAATTTATGGTATAGTCATAGCGATATACTCCGTCCAGTTTTGCGCCTTGCGTAGGCCTATAAAGTTCAATGGATGTAATGTTCTATTCAGCACGCTCTTTTTAAAATCCTGGCTATGCCACTGACAATGAATTGATAGTGGTGATTTTAAATTATTAATAATACTAATAACAGTGTGAAATTTAAATATATATTAGGCCTATCATTAGTTTTTATATATGCAAATAATAATGATAAAGTTCAATATCAATAGTTATTTATCAATTAAGGTCTCAAACGAACATAATACGTTTCCATAAGGACAAAGATTAGGTTTTGGAGTTTTGTTAGCATCGGTAATAATAGGTATACTTTTAAAAAATTCAACTAAACTTTGTAACACTTATTAAGTTATCATTAATAACTTAAATTTATGTCTTCATTTTAACGAATTACGTCATTTGAAAGAACGAAAAATCGAGCGCACAATTGTCAACTTTCAATAAACACAACAAAAAACTAATTTTCGGTGATTTTAAATTGTATTATTTACGAAAATCCTGAAATACCAACCAATTTAAAGGTGTAAACTACATAGTTATTTTATTGAGCGTCTTTTGATAATTGGCAAGAAAAATATCTTCTTGCTCTCTTATTTAATTGATAGGTACATCTAATAACTTATTTTAATTTAAAGTAACAAAATCAAATAGGATAATTTTATTAAATTTTTCAAATGTATTATCTCAACATTGTAATATATCTTTAAGGTAGGTTATACAACAATCAAAAATGAAAACCAACTCAACGCTTTGGCCAAAATCGTTGGAATACCTAGAACGTGGGCAGGAGCCAAGGTAACTTTATAACAGCCGAACACATAAATTAAAATGCTGGACATACGGATTTCACTCATTAAAACAATATTATACACACTTGGCTGAACCATAGACTATAAACCGACGGGTAGAAGTACCAAGGTGAAATTCAGATTCGGACAAAAACAATGACCGTTTTTTTATGTATTAGGAATAACTTTAGAATCGGTGGCACTCGCTCGTTTCCGAGTGGTGCATCCTAAAATACAAAAAGAAAGTTTCAACTAAATACAGTAAATTGATTCAAACAATATGAGAACTTAATTTACAAAAAAAAAAAAAAAAAAAACAGAAACAAAAACAAAAACAAAAACAAGAAAACTATAAATGTTGCATAATGTACAGTATCCTCACAGGCCAGGTCCGTAATCATAAGAAAGGAGTGACCACTTGTAATTATCTTATGAAGGGACCTTAATTAGACTTGAAACTTAAAAAAAAAACTATCGTAAAATAATCAAAATATATATTTAATGTGATACAACAAAAATATAGAAGTGAAATGATTAAGTTATGGGGGTGATTAAACATTACGGTTACCGTTACATCTGAGATAAGATTAATTACAACACTCTAGAATCGGACAGTAAAACAATTATGCAATGGCCAGGGGCAACACCATACAATAGATAGAAGCAGTGGAATTCAATCCATTTGCACTATTAGTCTTAAGTTTCGTTTTTTAGTGTTTGTCCCAGTACTGTAGACTTACTGGTAAAAGTCACTTTTCCTTATTCGATGTTAGTGGCCCCATTGGTATGAGATGATATGGAGTGGCACTATACGTCATAATCAGTAGTGACATTAGGTACACATCAGATGATGAAGAAAGGCTATCCAACAGGGGTCTCCTGAGGCCAACAGAGGGGACGCAGTGGGGGCTTTACCTGCCCGATGGGTTGGGGTTATACACCTATCCCTCTCCTGCTTCTCAGCCACTAGTAATAATAAGTGATTTATCGTGAAATCATTGTGAGTCGTAATATCTACTAGACTACATTCCTTATGGTAGGCAACCATACGTCAGAAAAGGTGTGCAATTGTGAGGATTTACGTTGTGGTTGAAAAAAAAAACTAAAATCGATGTGAGATGATTCTTTTTTTCTTTTTCTTTTTTTTACACAAGAAGGTAAACATAACTGGAGATAAAGAATGACATTATTCAGTGTCACACACTGAACATTGTTTGTGTCGTAGATCATGGCGCTAAAAATATTATTGTTCACTGATTGATTGATTGCTTGATTTATTGATTGATTGGTTGGCTGTTAGTTGACTGATTTATTGAATGACAAATCTTATATTTATTGAGGTACCAAACACTTCCGTTTCCGAAATATATCTGCTATCGTTACTGCTTTTTAACCAATGATTCATACATGGGACAAAACTTCTACTGCCTTTGATTGTGTATTGCGAATCGTAACGTAGTGTGTTTGGTGTTAATACATATGTTTATTTTGATTGCTGTTATTGTTTGTTTTACAAGTAAACGTCTGGAATGAAGTCTATTAAAACTTTTATGAATGTCGATGACATCATCATTGCTCTTGGTTACTTTTTAATTTTACGTCATATAGTCTCCTAGAAACGCGCTCGGTCCTCTCCGGGCGATACGCGCGAATGCCTAGTAATTGGAGAGAGAATTAAGTGCGTTTTTTAGGTATCGAGAGAGTGCATGGTTTTCATCAGCATTTTGAGGTTTGTTGTACACTTTTTAAGTTAATTTACATGGAGGACCGCAATGGGTATTTCATTTTCTGTATGTAAGTGTAATAATACACATGTCTGAGTATAAATTCTTATACTCAAGGACACATAAAATTAGGCCTATAGGCTAGGCCTAGTCCCTAAATAAAGCCGGGCAGGCCTGACGTACGTAGTAGGAGGCCTAGGGCCTAGCCTAGGCAAGGCCTAGGCGCGGCGCCCTAGTAGACAGGTAGGTAGAAAAAAGGCCTACCTTACCTACCTCGTTTAGCTAGGTAGGGATAGACACCCGACCGAGTCCAGGCTTGTAGTTTAACTGGATGGATAGAATCTTGGCCAGATTGTTGAAACCCAGTTTGCCGAATGCCAGATTGCCAAGTTCACTTTGCCGAAAACCAGTTCGCTGAAATGCCACTTTGCCGGCTCAATCAAAAACAATGAATCCCATTTTGCTAAAACACAGTTTGTGAAAAGCAGTGAAACATTAACAGCATAATTATAGTTCCAGACAATCTTGTTGTCAGCAGACATTGGAGGAGGGGGGGGGGGAGACACGATTTATTCCTTTTTCATTTCATTCTATTTCCAATTTTATCAGCGATTTCCGGTAACCAAAAAGACCTAATTAACATGTGTGATGTCCATACCACTTCAGTCCCAACATGGTTGGGGCTAAGGTGCGAATTTGAAAATATGGAATTCTGGGTGCCTGGAAATTGCGCTCTCATACCATAAAAATCTTAACAATAATTCATTTCAACAATATAATACAAAAATTATTTTTCTTAATACAATTTCGGACGGTGCGATCACACCGTCTGTATCCCCCAGCATTGTCATGATTTAGGTGAACTGGTTTCCGCAAAGTGGCCATTAACTCAGCAAACTGGTCGGATACCCGCCGTGTAACTACCCGACATACCACCATTTCCACCATTTACCTGGCTAGCCTAGGCTAGTAGTTATAGTAGCAGCGTAACTTATACAAAACCTGGGTATATTTTATGTGTATTTTTTTATTGATATTTATGTATAGGCCCTAGTTGTAGTTCTATTTCTAGGCCTAGTAGTAATCAACAGTATTAAAACATCCAGATATAGGAGGCTCTCTATACCATCCTTACCAAATTATTTATTTCATTTTGCTGCAGATAAAAAATATGGGAATTTTATCAATTGGCAACAATGTGAACTATAACAACATTGCAAACATGATAATACAGGGGCCTGCCATCCATTCTCAACAGGTCACCAACTTTCTCAAACAGAACTATAAAACACCAAAAGGTAGGTTTATACTTAATTTTACAGACAATGCATGTGTACACCTAGGCTGAAACTCAATATTAGCTGTGTCAGCATATATACTGGGGGATAGAGAATTTCAGTAACATTGCAATTAAAACTAGTTAAATTTTAATTATTAATTCATTGGTGTTTATTAGTTTCCTAATCACATAGAGATGAAAATAAAGATATATATATATATATATATATATATATATATATATATATATATTTTTAAA